TTGTTATTTTCGGCCTGGTCCCTTTTTGTCCTCGCTCTTTTTTTTTTTGGTTTTTCGTTTTCTTTTCCCTTTACTTTTTTTTTTTTATCTTTTTCTCTCTTTTTCTCTCTTTTTTCTCTCTCTTTCTCTGTCATGTCTCTGCTTGTGCCTGTGAAGCACCAAGATTGAACCAAGGGGGTGTGCCTCTTTCTCTCTGGCCCGTGATGCTGACTCCTAGTCTCAGTTGGTACCTCGCATAGCGCGCAGAGGGAGCGGAGGGCTCCAGAATATCTGTCGTTGATTTCTATTGACTTGCGGACCCCTCGGGGCCAGTTTATTTGAGTGTACCTTTTTAGGGTAAGTTAGCCTGTGACCACGGGAATCGACCGCGTGAAGTGTTGTATCAGTACGGACATATGAAGGTACTGGGTAGAGAGAGATCGGAACGGTTTCTAATGTGAAGACAACGGCAACAACAACAAATCCCTCAGCGAAGACCCTCCCTGCCCTCCAATGAGTCAGACGACCACCGCTGCCACCCCCGTTCCCGCTGTCGTCGGCGGTACTTGCTTGGCATGTCCAAGCATTCGACACGAAATTTCGTGTCGTCTGTGGCTCGTTCCAAGACATTCGCGCTGTGAGGTAATGCCGCTACAATCTTTTTACGCGCAAAGTGGGCTGCTTTGGCATTTCTGTGGGGGTTATTTTGCTCCTCCCCCCATCACTCACTCCCCTCGAGGTATCTGGCAAGTCGAAACCCCTTCCAAGCCTCGGAGACTGGCAGTAACACCGTCGTCCTCACCTGCCTCCCTTCCTTGCCTCCCCCTCCACGTCCCTCCGGGGTGAGTCGTTTCTCGGTCGATAGTTATTCATTCACGTATGCATACGCTTCGAGGACGTGCTTCTGGTGGTGTAATGTGTTGGCGGTTTGTTTGTCTCCCTGTTTGGTGTGTATTTTCTTGGCCGTTATTTACAGGTCTTCATCTACCTCTCATCCTCTGTATATATATATATCTTGTTTTTCCCTCGTCTTCGCTCTTGTACCGCGGAGAGCTCCATGTACATTCGAACGAAGTAGACACTGCGCCTTAGAAGCCGAGATATTACCCGGAAGGAACAAGATGCGCTCCGGCGGACTAGGTTTGACTCAAAACAATGATGATGGCGTAGAGATGTGATGTCCTGGGTTCAACTACTCCCGTGTTGCGTTGGATGGGAAATTGTGGAATCCAGAGGGATTGTCTACATAGACATCATACAACGTATGTATGTATGTAAGTGTACAATGAGTAACGTGAGTAACGCCCATTTAGACAACGGTACAGCTGGGATACAATCGGCGGCAGCTCTGTGCGAGCTCCTTGCATTCTTCAGTCAAGCACGTCCGGTGATTGTTTCGTGTTGCAGCTACTTTTTGCTGCTAGAGTTTCAACCTATCTATTCGGTCAGGCGGGTCGTGGAGGTATGATACGGCTACATTGGGCGATTAACATGCGCGTAAGGTTGGTTACGCGGGCAGGCACAGACCACATGATGGATGGGCGTCTCAAGAAAATTCTTGATCGGCATGATTTGAGCATTGGTACATGCCCACCATTGCGTCAACCTTGTAGCTAAATTAACTTGTGGTGCGTGTTCCTCTATACAGTACGATGGGATGGCTTGCTTGTTTGGTGTTTCAAGGCGAATACGAGGAAGCAGGGCGAGAACCGGAATCAAGATACCGGGAATAGCTCGCCGAGACGAGCTTGATCTGTTGTCATTCATCGATATTTAGTTTGTTGTTCCCATGGTGGTGAACGTTGCGGCTTGCCAGCCGGCGCCAGACGATGTTGGGTGTGGTAGTTTACTTGGTGTAGTGTTGTCGGTGGGGTGGTGGTGCAAAGTAGTGCGGACAGCGCAGACCCAGACCCTCTTAGATGGGCGACAGGTGCTCCAAAAACAATGTTTTGGACAATGAATGGCAGGCATGCATGTCCAAGACGTGCGTACTGTGACTACGTGAAACGGACTCCTCATGTTACGAACCCGGTTTCAAAATTCTAGTTCTTGCTTAATGGTCCTTTAATTGACCAAGACGCATTGTTGCCCCTAGCACCACTACTAGGGCATTGGACACGAAACATATAATGCCTGACACCCCTCCATCCTCCTACGTTCATGGTTGGTGATAACGCCTACGGAGTGTGTCGAGATTGGAACCCGTTTAACGCACTTGGCATTGCTTGCGGGCAGACATTGGGTGGGGCGTTCACCACAAACAAACGCGCACGCGTCCGTCCATATACGTGTCGGACTTGGCCCACCAAACGGAAAAACTCGTCCGCGTACACACACATGCATGCGCTACAAGTACGTCAGACGACCACTTCTGGAATAGACTGTGGACCCCTCCACCTCTTCTACACCTACACCTACATTGATCTATTGCAATCCTTTCGCCTGTGAACTTCTTGCCACACTGTTTCCGCCATCGGCACAATCCTAGGGCCTCTTCCCGCATGATATTTCAGCATCATGAATGTTCCACGCCCCTTATCCCCTTCCAAATCCTGAAATTAGTTCGCTGCTCGCCACCCCCGCCAACGCCAACAACTGTCGCACATGAACGAAAACATCTTTCACTTCCGAGACCTTTCTTTTCTTGTTCAGCCCGTGACATGAGGCAGAGCCCTCGACGACGAGCCGAAGGAAGAGTCAACAAGAAGGCGAGGTAGCGGGTAACGACACACACGACCAAGATTGTTGGCTTGTGCACGTTCGCCTCTTTGCGAGTGAGATGGCGCATGGTGCATACCACGCAACAACCTGGAAAAAACATCCAAGGCGGCGGCTACCACTACTACCACCGCCAACACAGACAACCCCCGCTCCCCCCCTCCTTGACTGAATTCAACACACCAGGCCAATGAAAGAGACAACCAACTTTCCAACACGTGAGTTTATCGCAAGAAAGAAGAGACAACATACCTTTCTCACGCAACATGCAGCCGCCCAACCCCTCCCCTGACTGTGCTTAGTAGAGCTACCACTTAACTCAGTGAAGCGGCCAACCATTCCTGCGGCGGCCGCCGACCCTCACAAGACAATCCATCCAAATCTGCTGGTCTGCATACATACTGCCTATTTCCTCTAGTGGAGGCATCTATCATACTGCTGTAAGGAGGCCACAACAAAACTTTTTTTGGGCCCTAACCGCATGCCGCGAAGCGAACGGCGTACACCCCCCTGCAAAGAATAAAACATGAGTGAGACATCCACACACAACACCCGTGTCGAGGTAGGCTTACCGAATGCATGACAACCTATAGCAGGAAAACACGACATTCTACAAACGTTCATGGTCGGGTGGCTCGCCCTTTTCTTCACTCTTCTTGGTTCATACCGCAATCGCCTACAAGTACAGCACGCGAGTGCATTCACTCGCTTCGCAATGCGCGCGCGCACCCACAAAGAAAACACCATCAAAGATCAAACCCCCTTCCAACCAAATCATCTCCTCTCCTCCCCTGTTCCCGTCAAGGACCCCCAGCCCGCTTGCCGTTACCGTCACATCATCACCCGGCGACGCATCATCCGCGCAAGCATGTTTCCCGTAGGACAAATGCTTGCATGCTTGTTTCTTCTTTCGGCATCAGCCCTTCCTGGAGGATTCGAAACACGTCCAACCCGGACCGACGGACAAGAAGGAATTGCACTTTCTCGAAACCCTAGCCCAAACATCCATGACGCGGGACCGACGTCGTCACACGGGAAAAAGACGAATGGCGCCGAGTAGCCCTAATTATCTCTTAACATACAGCACCCCTACCCTACCCTATCTCTGCTGGCACCCCATAGTACGCGTGGACTCGAAATGCAACCGACATCCAACCCCGATCTCAACTTACTTCCCTCCCGGTCTCAACCAAGCACCTCGTGCAACAGATGCCCCCCCCCCCCCCCCC